CCGGATTCTAGCGTTGTAAGTCCGCAGACGTACCGCTGTGCCACTTGGGGGCATTTTTTTTAAAGTAATACTCTGCTCTACCATGTTGCTTTTATTTGGAGCTCTGGCTTTTAAACGGTGATGATATAAGACAAAAACTTATTTCCAAAATATAGTAACTTGTACTTGATATTAGTGTTGGCTCTTCTTTATGAGATTTATTAAATAAAATCGAAACCAAGCTCTTAAACTTTATTACGAGCTCCGATCTATAGAAGTTTAGGGCGATGATGCAAAGTAGCCTCCCACCGGGGAAACAATAACAACATTATAGCGTATAATAACTCGTCGATAACACTATTTTAGATTTTTCTTATTGAGATACGATCAATAAAATCCAAAACGACCTCATATACTTTACTTTACTATGTTGATTTTATGTGGAGCTCCAGCTTTTAGGCTTTTGGAACTATGTTGCAAAATAGACTTCCACCGGAGAAATATATAATAATAATATAAGTAATATATTTTGTGTGTATATTAACTCGTCCATAACACTACTTTAGGTTCTTCTTTATGAGATACTTCTAACAAAAATCTATAACTACCTCCCATATTTTATCCGTTTATTTTATTTCGAGCTAAGGCTTTTACAGAAATAAGTATATATATATATATAATGAGAAGCTGTTGTGCATTAGAAAAGTTACTTAAATTGAACTCGGCACAGTACATGTTGTTTTTAGATAATATATTCCCCTGTAGTCGATCGTACTTTAACTTGTTATTCAGAGTTACTCATTGTGAATCCTAAGTAAAAAAAAAAAAACCCTTAAAGAGAAGCCAGAAACTGTGTAGTTTGAACTGTCAAGAGAAGGTTATGCTGAAATTGAATTAAGAATACTGTCACATTGTACCCATTAACAAGTATTATCTGTATAGTTATTAAATTGGTAGACACTTCGGCTACAAACAGATACATCTTACAGTTAAATATAATCATTAATGTCTAACTTAACTTACTTACATTTCTATACATCTAAATTGTTTACAAATAAATGAAACTGGTGCTATAATATCCAGTATTTTTATTTACACGTAAATTAAATGTAATCTATTAAATGTGAAATAATATGTATAAATTTAATTTATATTACGATACTTGAAACTAACATTATGCAACTGTAATGATGCTTCACGATCATCTGGTGGATCCTTTTTACAATATTCACATAACCAACGATACCCATTTACTACCACATGGTGTTTATGATAAAATAATTCACATGATCCTTACGACCCACTGTGACATGTAATACCTCTTGGATCCTATTTTAACAAATTAATGTAACTTAACATTGATATAACTCGATTTTCTCGAGGGGAAATGTCTTTGTAGAGGTTCTCATGTTATCCTGTTTAAAGTGTACTTATTTATTGCCTGTCTACGTTTTGTAAAGTAAATGTTTCGTAAAGGCTACGGCAAAAAGACCACAGTTGTTACCACCGTCTTGTTGCTGAACTTAAAAATTTTTTATGTAAATAACGTGTGTACCCTT